TCCTGAAAGCAAAGCCCTCATCACTTGAACAAATAATGATATCAACACTGGTGTTCTCACTGGTTGTCTCTTGTGTGAACATCACACAAGAGATCCCAGCCCGGTCTCATCACAGAGCATCAATTACTGAGGCTTTGAGAAAGCCCCACAAGATACTCTTCAGCATCTGTTTGAGACGCCCTGCGCTTTCAAATCACTCCAGTGTAACCCATCCACCATCTGAAACCAAAAGTCTAAGTTGACTCATAAGTTACACAATGTTACATATGTGACTTTTATCACATAACGTACTTATTTCAACCCAAACCACAATCTTTTCCTAAACCTTTTGGTGCCTAGACCTAACCAAACTGTGACAATCTGACAACCACTGGTATCTCTTGTGTAAACATCACATCAGACATTTGCAACTCATTAACATTACAGTATTACGCTTCAAAATAGTTGGGGGACCAACAGACAGGTTTTTTTAATGGTAAAAATCACTGCAGGAGAGGTATCCTGACTTACAATCCCTAATATGGTTCAAACTCTCAAAATACTGGACCAACAGTCCTCATAACTCGATAACTTTAGATTAGAACCTTCCTGCCTGGTCAATGTCTTCTAAATTCCACACGTGTGGGACATTTGTTTTTTAAAACATGGCAGGATCAGCCCCAATACCGACGCTTAACTACTTTGTGATAACCATCTGCCATAATCAAATCCAAAATGTCATAAGCTTCAGCTTCCTCATGTCTGTAAATTGTCAGCCCTACAACCAGCTTATAGGAGCATCGCTGCTCTGAAAACAGCTTTGAGGTAGAAAAGTAAGCATCAAGTGCATTGTGGGTATTTTTCTATCGTGGGACGCACTTGCCTACTAACAGTTGAATGCCCACTGAATGAAGTGAATGCGTCAGTTTTAGGAAAGCTCCTCGACCATCACAGAAAACAGTACAGAATTGTTTTCACAGTAGTAGCCTGCTCCTTCTGACAAGTAAACCTGCACATTCTCACTACCAACTCGTCACATATGGACGCTTGGTCAAGACCCTCTTGCATCACTTTTTAACGCACTGGGTACCCCTTTAGCATCAGTTTGGACGTGTAAGGCAATAATAAACATGCGATGTCCAGTTAGACATTCGAGATAAATGGTTAACATTGTGAAACTTTGCAATTTGGTTTTGGCAGCAAAACTTCTTGGTTAGGTTTAGGTTTAGAAAAGATCATGGTTTGTTACTTAACTTACTATACTTAACTAAGTTAAGTAACAGAAGTTAAGTAACGTTAATGTTGACTTTCACGTGGGAAACGAATATCTCCTGCATGAAAGTCTGGTTTCTCGCCACCCATCCCAACCACCTTACTCTGATTTTTAAGTTGCAGTATCTCACAGAGACCCAACAGGGTTAAGGCAGTGCTGGAAAACAATGGTGGCCACACAAAATATTGACACTTTGGACCCAATTTAGACATTTTCACTTAGGGGTGTACTCACTTCTGTTGCCAGCGGTTTAGAAATCAATGGCTGTGTGATGTGTTATTTTGAGGATTTACACTGTTATTTATAGATATATACACAAGTTGTACAATCACTATTTTACATTTAAGTGTAATTTCTTCAGTATTGTCACATGAAAAGATATAATCAAATATTTACAAAAATGTGAGGGGTGTACTCACTTTTGTGAGATACCGTATCCTACACCTGCTTTTCGCATTTATAAATGATGCTACAGGGCTTCCCAGTGTATTACAAACTGGCGCCAATGGGTCTTGGCCATGAAATAACAACCTGACATCATGGAATGGCGTATAAATAGCATGCCACTTTTAAGGACATTTCGGCGTGCCATGTCAACGCATTTTCAGTTTTTCGTGTGTCATTCACACGCTGTTTCTGCGCAATAGAATTCATTCATTTCACGCTGATCAAGCAACAGGAGGAGGAGGTTATCCCTGCGCAGCAGTAGGGTTAACCGGTTGCCATGCATATTTAATTAGTGATGGTTAAGGTTCGCAGTAAAGTACATCAGAGGGGGGATGTCAATGCTAGCAAGCTAGCTACTTAGTTAGCAACATAGGTTTGCAACGATGTAGCAGGGTAACTTACGTAACGTAACGTAGTAGCTAATGTAGGTAACGTTAGCAACGATGTAGAATACTAACGTAACGTAGTACCTAACTTTAGCAACAATGTAGAATACTAACTTATGTAACGTAACGTAAATAAAAAACAAAAACTAATGTTGTCTAATCTTTGTTTTACACGGGAATCAAATGCCGGTCTCCTCGGTCTGGGACCAACTGACTATCCACCCGACCACCCTGCCACCACCTTAGTGAACTTTCATTGCCATTTATATCACACACAGGCTGATTTTACCTGTGACAGCAGGCGTACAATGACACGCCATTTGTGTACAATAGAAGTCAATGCAGTCTAAACAGTGTGAAATGACACGCAAAATGCAAAAAATGCATTGGAATACCCCACCAAATGACTTAAGAAAAAGTTATTCATACGCCTTTTGATGATACCAGGCTGGAAATAAGTGAAGTGATCCTTTAAAAATTGTTTTTTGATAGCATAAATTGAAAAGTTGGGTTTGGGTTTTGTAGAAATGGAAGAAACAAGAAACCACTGCCAGTCTATGACATGCAATAGGCCTACAAGTGAATCTGAATCTGGCATGGCTGCTGTGTGGTTTGGCTGTTATTAGCCTTTACATACTTCTCCTAGTGCTGTTTTCTTTGGAAATGTTAGGCTGATTTAAAAGGAGAATGTCTGCAGCACTGTGTTGAACTTAATGCTACATCTGAACTCAAAGGAAGAAACATGGAAAATGTGATCCATGCCATTAAAGTCTCAGAGGGTCAGAGAGGACATATGTCTGTCTCTGTGTGTGTTGCCCCTGTGTACTCCCCTCCCTGCACCTCCCAAACATTTCACCTGCCACTCAAACCCCTGAGATCCACCCTCTTCCCTCCTTCCCTCCCCGCAGCCCTCCTTCCTGTTGCCATCTACGCTTGGAAACGCTTCCCAAGCCCTTTATTCCCTCTCCTCGCCATCTCTCTCTCCACTCTGTCACACCATCCCTCAGTCCCTCCCATCGCTACTTTAATCTTTACAACTTCTTCCCCCTTCGCTCCCTCTCGCTGTGTAAAATGAATTTCCACTGAGAAATGTTTCACCACAGCTGGATGAAGGTGCCCAACGATTTGAGAGTTGACTATTTGGCGTGGTCCAAGATGTGGAGGTGACTGAGCGGCTGCGTGTTTAGGAAATGAGGTGGGCGTGTACTGAGTCGTGGACACAGCCCCGCGCAGTGAAGCCCGAAGCAACAGCTGGATCAGCAGTCCGCCTGTCCCTCCGAGCAGCGCCGCAGGTGAGTGCAACTTTTCTTCTCGTGTTTAGTAAAGCAAATGTGTGCTGAAAGAGTTTCGGGACTGATGACATGAACTTGAACTAGACACCACAAATATAAACCAACACAAGATGGCTTTTAATAATAATTACAGTGCTTGAAGAAATTTTCATATCTTCTATTTAAGTGGAAATACCACAAAATATTCGGTTACAAGTAAAAGTCCTGCATTCAGTAAAAGTACAAACGTTTTTGCATCAAAAATACCAAAAGTGAAAGTACTCATCTTGCAGCATGTCCCACTTCAGAATCATATATAATATATTATTGGATTATAATTACTGATGCATTAATGTGTAGGTCACGTTAATGCTGGTTAAGGTTCAGCTAATTTGAATTGTATAACTTTAGACTTTAGACTGCTGGGTACCCCCCTTTTTGAACCCCCCTTATAAAGCTATTATTTTACATTGATTCGTTGATTATATTTTGTATTATTAATCTGAATCTGAAAGGTAACTGTCAAATTCATGCAGTGGAGTAGAAGTATAAAGCAGCAGAAAAATGGAAATTCTCAAGCAAAGTACAAGTAGGCTACCTCAAAACTTTACCTAAGTACATTAGTCTCCTTGAGTAAATGTACTTAGTTGCTTTCCACCACTGAACATTACAGTAATTTATCACCACAGGATAAACCTTAACGTAAAATCTTTGTTATTTGGAATATGATCTTTTCTTACCTTATGCACCTTGTTTATATACATTATAACATTTGTTTTATACAATACATGGCAAAGGGAAGGACCAATTAATAGGCCGCCAGATGTTTGGTCACCACTGTCAGATAGATCTTTCTTTGTTTTAAATTAATACGGTTACAATCTATTCCTATTCCTCTTGACAAAAACTAAGTAAGGACTGGCAAAACACATATTTTATGAAAAAATAACAAAATCAAGCAATCCGCGTGTGTGCTCCGGCTTCCTCCCACCATCCAAAGACATTCAGGCTAGGTTAATTGGTGTCTCCAAAATTGTCCTTAGGTGTGGATGTGAGTGTGAGTGGTTGTCTGTCTTTGTGTGGCCTTGCAAAGGACTGGCGACCTGTCCAGGGTGTACCCCGCCTTTCGCCCGATGTCAGCTGGGATTGGGTCCAGCCCGCTGCGATCCTGTACGCAGGATAAGTGGTTGATGATGGATGGATGGATTAGTTGATTATCAAAATAGCTATTTGCTGTCGACCAACTGATTAATCCACTATTGGTTGCACCCCCAAACATAAGACTAGATAATGTTACTGCCATAGCACATATTATGTTACTGTATGCAGATTATGGAGCTCTCCAAGATCTGCATATTGTGATAACACAGTTGTATCAGTTTGTCTGAAATGGAATTGGTCGGCTATACACTTTGTCTTATTGCCTGTTTCAGTTCACTGGGATGTTACCATAGGACTCATCACATTCAGTCTAGTAGTAAAACATTCATGATGCCTTCGCTGTCAGGGGTTGGATGGACTGTTTTCTGTCTCCTTCTTTTCTGGAAGAGAACAGCAGGTAAGAACATCCGTGGGCCTTTTCAACATTATCTTAGAACGATTATTGTGTTGTGACATTTAAGACAATAAAAGTATCAAATGTGGTATTTCCTCTGCTCAAGCAGCCACAAGTCAAAGGTCTTTATTTTATGTGTCAGAACGAAAGTGAAAACTGTTACATAGTTTCTTGTGGGAAATTTTCCAGTCCCCTCCGGCAGGGATTTAGCCTCAGCACGCAGACACCAGTCTGTCTATTGTGTCACCCACACATCATAGAGAGGAGCAGAGCGAAACTGTGAAAGAAGGCAGAGCACAGATGGAGAGTTATGAGACCTGGCTTACTTTTAGACCAGCGTGCCTGCATGTAGAAGAAGCAGAGATATGGTCTCACCACGAGGAATATTGGTGTACACCCCACTGCAGTTATGGTTTCATTTTTTATCACACTACATAGTCATGCATCTGCTGTTCTTCCTCAGCTCCAAGTATGGAGATGCGATGCTCTGTGGCTGGTCCAGCGGGGTCGTTACACCCTGTTCAGGGTCTGTTGGAGAGGTTTGAGGCTGGTCCGGGTTGTGCTGCTAGAGAACATGGAAACAAGGAAACTCATGTCATTGCAGTGGGGAGAGTTACAAACAGCCCCGAAAACAAGGTAATTTTAAGCTCCCAGTTTCTAAAGAGATCAACACCCCAGACTCTTAACGTACAACACTTTCTCCATAGAGCCAGTCAGTCTGTCTGTAATTAAACAAAATAAACATAATCTCGACCTAACAAATTAATAACAGTGCATCATTATCAAGGGAGCTGTGTCAGTCAGTCAACAAGAAGACAGAGAGGAGAGACAGTGTGACCTACAGTCAGAATAGCCCTAAATTATTCCTTCACGCAAACTAAACAAAAAGATTCTAAAGATGTGTCTCAATTCGGATACTTCTGTTAGTACACTAACATGCAGTACACTGCGTACACTATATGTACACTTACTTGCGTAGTGCGTACATTTCGACAGAGTAGTGTTGTCAATCAAACACCTGCCGACTTGTTTGCTCACTTGACTTCAATTAAAATTTATAAAAAATTTTAAACAAAATTAACATACTTTTACTTTTACGATGCAATCACTGTAGCTTCCTTGGCAGCCATTTTCACACCTTTTAAAATTAGGTTGGTGGTCCCTCCCCTCTCGCTACGTAGCCAAGATTGTCCAGCAATTCACATTGACCATACTCGTCAGTGTAAACACACATATGCACAAATAGTAAATGTAAGCATGGACGGACGCAAATTAAGACACAGTAGTGTTAGATATAGCTAAGTTTGTTAGCTTGAGATTGACTGCAGAGATGCTTCAGCTAGAGCACAGCAGCATGTTCTACTATAGATAGATAATTAGCATTATACACACTGGCTGGTGTGGTTTTATGACAAGGTTATCTGCAGCTAGGTAGCTAGCTGAAAATGCAGTGTTCAATTAACAGTTTTTACACAGTCATTTGATGTTACTTCATCAACACTGTCGCACACACACTGAACATTTTGTGAGGGAAACAAGGGAAACTGGAAATACTGCTTGGGGAAATAGAAAAACTAAGGAATTGACATTATTTATTGCTGTATGGTTCTCTCTTCTGTTAAACACACTGAACATGCATTAAGTGGACTGGCTTTATAGGTATACCACATCACACCGCTTTCCTCTTCTGTCTGCAGGTGACAGTGTTGCTGAAGCCTTTGTCTCTGTCCCCCTCACCTCTAAGAGCCCTTCACCTGCTGCTTAGCTCCAAGCTCCCTGTCACCTGGTGGCTGGAGGCTGAGAGACTGCCCCCTAACCTCCCAGTGCTGGTGCAGGTCAGTCGTAGTGTGCAGAAGAGTGTTATCGTAATCTGCCCATCACATCTGTAAATTAAATGCTGTGTAATGCATATGCCATTTTTATGTTCATGGCTTATGTTTATCAGTTTCTATCCCCTGAAATTTTCTTCTTTGTCCACACCTGCTAGGTATCCTCAAACTCTAGCGTACAGTCCAGCACCCTGCATTTCCATGTCCAAACTGTTCATTCGCTACCTTTTCATTCACGTGCGCTGCACCGCTGGGCTCTGAGACATCATGGCAACCTGTCCTCTCTAACACACACAACACACGGAAATCGAGTGTATGTCGCATTGGGAGAGGGTGAGCCACCAAGAAACCAAATATCATAGTGATGATGAATTATATTCAACTATCGTGCTATCCATGATAGTTTGTATGTAAGCAAAAGTTATGAAAGACTAGCTTAAAGTCTGTTGCCAGTCTTTAAGCTAAGCAAAGCTAACTTGCTTCTTCTTGCATATTCTCATCCAACTGTCTACAAGAAAGTAAACCAACATATTTCCCAAAGTTTTACACTGTCAAACCTAAAAATCTGTGCACTGGTTTGGTACTGTGTATGTTAAAATTCAGGTCATTACATCTTATCATTCAATGTAACTCTCTGTTCTAACCAGACATAACCCTAGGCTAAGGTTGGACAGGTTGTGGAGAAAGATCTTGTGAAACTTAAATTTTAAGAAATCCCTCTTGCTTTGCATATTACAGATGCAACCCTGCCTGCTGTGTGCCAGCTGCAGTCCATGTTCCTCTCTCACAACTACATAACCTCCGACCTGCAGCCACAGAAAGTGCTGGGCTGCGCTGACGAGCCAGCAGGTAGGATCAGCCCCGAAGTCCACGTGATCAGGCTCCATTCAGCAGGCTCAGGGCTCTGCGGGTGAGAACATGCAGCCTTGGAAAGTACAGCCATGGAAATTTTTATTTTCTCATCTCTCACCGTTTCCTTCAGCTCTCTCCAGGTGGAGGTGATTGTCTCTCTTGTGCCCCTGGTGGCCAACTCAAAGACTCAGAAGGTTGTGCTGATTCTCAGTAGCTCTGTGCCAGTCAACTGGGCCATTGTTGCTCGTGGTGTCCGGGGTCATGTCTCTGTTCATGTAAGGGACCCATCTCCCTTTGCTGGTCTACAAGCCAGTTTAAGAATTTTTATCTGAATTTGTCATCTGATTTGTCAAACAACTGTGCCTTTGTACTTTGAACAACATTGCCTATATATCTATTTTCTCTCTCTCTCCATAGTCCTCCAACAGTGTATCCCCACCTTACCCTCCTGAGCCTGACCTCTTCGTGTCCAGTACACTTAACTCTGACTTGTCCACCATATCGGACCTTCTTGTGTGGGCCAGTGAGAGCGGCTACACCAAGGTGACCTCATACACTGAGGCTGACCTGGCCAATCGCTTTGTGATCCAGCTGGCTGGGGGCGGGACAGGTCAGGACCCCTGTGTGTCTCTTGTTTCCATCACTGTGTGAGTGACCTGAACGTTTGTAATCCTCCCTAATTATTTTTGTATTTCTATTAAGTATAGGAGAATTATTTGCTTTTTTGCCTGTGTCCCAGAATTTTTTCATCAATGAATGCATGTTGAATAAAAGGTACTGAAGTGTGAGCATTTAATCTCTGCATGGCTCTATGTCTCCTCTGTGTCTGTACTACAGACGTGGTTGCAGTGATGAATCCTCTGGTTGTGAGGCCTTCCTGGGCTGAGGAGCGCAGTATGAGGCAGTGGCTGAATGGTGGAGGCAAAGCAGGAGGAGGCCAAGAGAGCTTCACAGTGCAGTGTGATGACGGCCGTCTCAGCGTGACTGTGGACCAACACATGCTCCAGGTCTTCATACCTCAGTATTAGATGTAGCATTAGATGTAAACAATTCATAAAGAAAGAAGCTAGCTTTACCACAACATAATATAATGCAGTGTTTTTACAAAGATGTAAGCCTGGCGGGGTGGGCGTGGGGGGGTGAGTACCCCAGTTGGACTGACACAACGGCATCACACCCAGGCTACAAACAAATGACCATGAGCAAGCAGTGTGCATGTGGCAAAATCTGAAAGAGCAATTGCAGCTTGAAAATTGACGGATGAAGTGTCTGGTGGGAGCAAGAGCAGCACAACGCACAGGTGTCCAATATGGGGAGACACAGGAGGTGTCAGTCCCAGAGTCACCCCATAGTGCCCGGATCCTCCATGTGATGCAAACTAATCCCTCTAATTTTAAGTCTATGAGTAGGCAGATCAAATGGCCTGCAGATAACATTACTTCAATGTGGAATCAGTGACGAACATGTCAACAAAATTCTTGAGGCAACCGTGAAAGGAGAGACCAATAGGAAGCTACAAGCCATGACAACAAGCATTGTCAGCATCACAGCTGAACAGTTTGGAAAAGAGGAGGAGAAAGGCTCCAGGACCCCTTACTCAAAGAACCAAAAAGCGGCAAGGATCCACATCAGGCAGGAGATAAAAGCACTGAACCCCCAGTACAAGGAGACAGGAGAAGACGAACCCATTTGCTTGGCCTAGCTGATGTGCATCCTATTAAAGAAGATCAGGGTCCTACGCCGGGCATAGTGGCATCGAGGCGGCGGTATGAATGGGCCCAAAAATGAGCAGGAGTTGGGAGAGTGCAACATCCTAATAGACCCCCTGGACCATGAAACATGTGCAGTTTGACATGTCAAAGCTGCAGCGATAGGAAGTCAAAGAGGTCATCCACAAAGCAAGGGCAATCTCTGCTCCAGGGCCAAGCAGCATTGTAAGCAAGAACTGTCCCAAACTCCTGCTGTGCCTGAGGAAGATCTTCTTTTAAGTCTTCTGGAGAAGGGGAAAGATCCCAGAAAAGTGGAGAGTGACTGAAGCGGTGTGGAGGAAGTCTCTACCCAGATAGACCAGTTCTGCATCTGTATGGAGGCAAAGGTCTGTCCACCTACCTGGCCAAGAACACATTGACACATCAGTCCAGGAAGGTGGTATTTCAGGGATGCCAGGCTGACTGGAGCACACCTGGTACAGGTATGTGGACGACACATGGGTCAAATTTAAAACCCAGGAAGTGCAAGCTTTCACAGAACACATCAACTCTGTGGACAGTGAAGGTAAGTTTACACGAGAAGATGTCCACAACCAAAGTTTGGCTTTCCTGGATTGTGTCGTTCACATTGACGAGGACAGGAGCCTGCAAATTGGAATCTACAGGAAACCCACACACACAGACCAGTACCTACTTTTTGACTCCCACCACCTACTAGAGAACAAGCTAGGGGTCATCAAAACCCTGCATCACAGAGCTGAGAACATACCAACAAGTGCCCGAGTCCAAGAAAAGGAAAAGAACCATTTGAAGGGGGCACTTACAGCCTGTGGATATCCCAAATGGACCTTTGTGAAAAAAGCCACAAGATCCAGGAGGGACAACACTACAGGGTATGAGGAAAAGAAGAATAAACGCAACAACATTGTGATTCCATTTGTGTCTGGAGTATCAGAGAAACTCAGGAGGATTGGCAAACAAACACCACATCCCTGTGTTTTTTAAACCCAGGAACACGGTAAGACAGATACTGGTACACCCCAAAGATTGCACACCCAAACACAATCTGGTGTTGTCCAATGCAGTGAGGAATG